TGGATAGATAATGAAAAGACTGGGATAGATAGATAGATAGATAGATAGATAGATAGATAGATAGATAGATAGATAGATAATAAAGATGAGATAGATAGATAGATAGATAGATAGATAGATAGATAGATAGATATAGATAGATAATAATGAAAAGACTGGGATAGATAGATAGATAGATAGATAGATAGATAGATAGATAATGAAAAGACTGGGATAGATAGATAGATAGATAGATAGATAGATAGATGAATAGATAGATAGATAGATAGATAGATAGATAATGAAAAGACTGGGATAGATAGATAGATAGATAGATAGATAGATAGATAGATGATAGATAGATAAAAGACTGGGATAGATAGGATAGATAGATAGATAGATAGATAGATAGATAGATAGATAGATAGATAATGAAAAGATAGAGATAGATAGATAGATAGATAGATAGATAGATAGATAGATAGATAATGAAAGACTGGGATAGATAGATAGATAGATAGATAGATAGATAGATGGATAGATAGATAGATAGATAGATAGATAATGAATAGATAGATAGATAGATAGATAGATAGATAGATAGATGATAGATAGATAGATAGATAGAAATTGAAAAGATGGATAGATAGATAGATAGATAGATAGATAGATGGATAGATAGATAGATAGATAGATATAGATAGATAGATAATGAAAAGACTGGGATAGATAGATAGATAGATAGATAGATAGATAGATAGATAGATAGATAGATAGATTTATTTACTTATTTATTTATAAAAGACTGAGATAGATAGATAGATAGATAGATAGATAGATAGATAGATAGATAGATAGATAGATTGAATTATTTGTAAAAGATTGAGATAGATTTGAAAAAGTTATCAAGTAAAACATTCTGTTGGCTTATATAGTTAGATGTGAACAGATGGATAGAATATATATATATATATATATATATATAGATAGATAGATAGATAGATAGATAGATAGATAGATAGATAGACAGACATGAACACAACTGAGATAGATAGATAGATAGATAGATAGATAGATAGATAGATAGATATGAAAATGACAGAGATAGATAATAGATAGACATGAAGATGACTGAGATAGATAGATAGATAGATAGATAGAGAGATAGATTGAATTATTTGATGAGAGATAGATTTGAAAAAATTATCAAGTAAAACATTCTCTTGGCTTATATAGTTAGATGTGAACAGATAGATAGATAGATATATAGAATATATATATATATATATATATATATATATATATATATATAGATAGATAGATAGATAGATAGATAGATAGATAATGATGATGATGACTCAGATAGATAGATAGATAGATAGATAGATATGAACAGACTGGGATAGATAGATAGATAGATAGATAGATAGATAGATAGATAGATAGATAGATATGAAGATGACTGAGATAGATAGAGAGATAGATAGATACCGTGTATACTACATGACCACTATCCGTTACCCACCACAAGTTATCTTTAAATCATCTCCACATTCTTTAGACATACAACCTTCCATCTTGGCGATTAAGCGTTCTCCCTAATATAATACATTCCATTTTAGTGAATATATGTGCGTGTGTGAGCCCGCGCGCGCGATTAAGCGCTCTAATATAATACATTCCATTTTAGTGAATATATATATATATATATGTGTGTGTGTGTGTGTGTGTGTGTGTGCTTGTGTGTGCGTATATATATATATATATATATATATATATATATTATATATATATATATATATCTGTGTGTGTGTATAATTTGTAGAATGCTTCTAGGCACGACTGAACAGTGGAAATGCAATGTTGCAGGGAAGCCACCTCTCGCTTGTTCAAGTAAACATTCATTGTGTTCTGTGAATATAGAGTTATATGCAAACGTGTAGAGAAACCAGTGTAAATATTGTTGAGTTAGGACTTCGTTGGTGTTTCTTGTTTGAGCCCCGGGCAAAGAATATCAGCAAGATGAGGAACTGTTGTCTCGCCAATCTCTTGTTGTTTGTGATATTGGATGGATGTCTGCGAAATTAAACGTGTCTGTATGCCGCGGTTGGATCGATGGCCGGGAAAGCGAGATAATGCGTTGTTTCTCGCTGTCTGTTCGTATCTCTCACCCAGAGAAAATAGGAACACAGTCCACTACGTGCAAAATTCCAACATAAAAGTTCATATTTAAAAAAAAAAAAAAAATTTTTGAGTTGATAATCCAGTACACGTTAATTATTTTATGTCAAGTTTCAGGACGCGAGTGATAATGGCTCTCAACAACTTCCTATTTTCAAGTAGTTTTAAACTCGAGACCATCACGAAATTCTTCTTCTTTTATGGCCTTCCTTATACATGTGTGTGTGTTATATAGGTGTTGTGGTAGGATCCACCTAATTTGCATAGTGGAGTACCGACCATATAAATATGGTTGGTACCGGGAAGAGAGGGAGGAATCAAGAGATTCAATCCAGAGACTCTGCCCGACTGCGACTAAGTCAACACATTCTCCAGGAACGGTCTTCCCAAGAATATACAAAAGACTATATGTAAATATTGTGTACACTTTCTTGTTTCAATACATTTTGTTCTAAGTACATTTTGTGTTGCATTATTATTCCATGCATTAGTCAAGTTTCAACAATAGGAATGAAGTGTCGCTGCCGACACTGAAGATTGAACACAGATCACCAGAACACAAATACAGGCGATTGCATTTTGAATAAGTTGACTGTATCATCGTGAAAAAAATGGATATATGTGATCTAGCGTGGCGTCTAAATGATCCCTATTTCTATACTATCCTCTATTGATCCCTATATCTACACTATCCTCTATTGATCCCTATATCTACACTATCCTCTATTGATCCCTATATCTACACTATCCTCTATTGATCCCTATTTCTAATCTCTCCTCTATTATTATACGGTTCGCTATTCTCTATACTATTTCTCTATACTGATCACTAGTCAGTGGTTACTATTCGAGCGAGTAGTATCGAGCGAGTACTATTAGTGCGAGTGTTATTCGAAGGCGTCTGTCACCAGTATATAGTTACTATAGTTGTGTCTGCGATTACAAAGTCTCTACTACAACGAGCATTACGAAAGTGACAACAAGTGTTCGTTGACATGAAAAAAGAGTGTAAAATTTTCCACGCCTTTTTCCTTCATTATGTATCCTAGGGATATCAGATGACATTTTTCCTCATTATGTATACCAAACATATCAGACGCCTTTTTTACCTCATTATGTCTACCAAAGATATCAGACGACGTTTTATCTCATTATGTATCGCAGGTATGTCAGACGACTTTTTCCGTCATTATGTATCCCAGAGATATCAGACGCCTTTTTTCTTCATTATGTATCCCAGAGATGTCAGACACCATTTTACCTCATTATGTATCCCAGAGTTATCAGACGCCTTTTTACCTCATTATGTATCCCAGAGATATCAGACGCCTCTTTTCCGTCATTATCTATCCTAGAGATATCAGACGACTTTTTTCTTCATAATGTATCCAAGAGATGTCAGACGCCTTTTTACCTCATGATGTATCCCAGAGATATCAGATGACTTTTTCCGCCATTATATATCCCAGAGATATCAGACGATTTTTTCTTCATTATGTATCCAAGAGATATCAGACAACTTTTTTCTTCATTATTTATCCCAGAGATGTCAGACGCTTTTTTTTACCTCATTATGTATCCCAGAGATATCAGACGACTTTTTCTTCATTATGTATCCCAGAGATGTCAGACACCATTTTACCTTATTATGTATCCCAGAGATATCAGACGACTTTTTCTTCATTATGTATCCCAGAGATGTAAGACACAATTTTACCTCATTATGTATCCCAGAGTTATCAGACGCCTTTTTACCTCATTATGTATCCCAGAGATATCAGACGCCTTTTTGCTTCATTATGTATCCGAGAGATATCAGACAACTTTTTTTTCATTATTTATCCCAGAGTTGTCAGACGCTTTTTTTACCTCATTATGTATCCCAGAGATATCAGACGCATTTTTACCTCATTATGTATCCCAGAGATATCAGACGACTTTTTCCGTCATTATATATCCCAGAGATATCAGGCGCCTTTTTTTTTCTTCATTATGTATCCAAGAGATATCAGACAACTTTTTTCTTTATTATTTATCCCAGAGATGTCAGAAGCTTTTTTAACCTCTTTATGTATACCAGAGATATCAGACGCCTTTTTATCTCATTATGTATCCCAGAGATATCGGTCGCTATTTTAACTCATTATGTATCCCAGGGATAGCAGATGCCTTTTTACCTCATTATGTATCCCAGAGATATCAGACGCTTTTTTACCTCATTTTGTATTCCAAATAATCAGACGCCTTTTTCCCTCATTATGTATACCAGAGATATCAAAATCACTTTCTCTTTGTTAATAGCGGTGTCCTTGTATTTCCTATTCTCCCCAAATTCTCCTCGTTAATCACATGTTCTTATCATGATTTTCTCGAAATTCATCGCGAGGACCACGTGCTTCAATTCAAGTCTCGTTTTCATCTATGAGTAAATTCTCAGACATTCACTGTCACTTGACATTTTTTCAGTTCAGTAATCCTTTTGTTTCTCTATAAATATATTTAACGTTGTCTTTACTTAGATTTTGGAAGACATGTTTTGTTGTTCCTATGCCGCTGACTTTGTCGTCTTTTACTATGCTATAGGGATTGGGGAATTTTTGTTCCTGTCTGATGCTTGATATCCATCACTGCTAGTTGACGCTTTGGGTTGTATCTTTGACTGACAACTAGGTATTCGGTTTTCTTTCAGTTAATAGTTAGCTTCTTAGAGTTCCTTCAATTTCCTTTCTGAAACAGTCACAATATACTAAGGATTCCTATGACCACACTGTCTACACACTGCGAAAATTTTAATAAAACTTCTGCTAGATTTAAGCATACGTTAAATTCGACTAAATGTTATGGATTTTGATGTGACATTGAGTTGCACGATCTATCTATTATTCATATATATCTACATGTCTATCTCTATTCATATCTATCTAACTCTGTTCATATCTATCTATCTATCTATCTATCTATCTATCTATCTATCTATCTATGTCTATTCATATCTATTTATATATCTCTATTCATATCTATCTTTCTCTGCTCGTAACTATGTCTCATCATTATCTATCTGTCTATCAATCAGTGTCTATTCATATCTATTTATATATCTTTATTCATATCTATCTATATATCGATCTATCTATGATCATTATCTATCTATCTATCTATCTTTATTCATATCTATTTATATATCGATCTATCTATGATCATTATCTATCTATCAATCTTTATTCATATCTATCTATATATCGATCTATCTATGATCATTATCTATCTATCTATCAATCTATCTATCTTTATTCATATCTATCTATATATCGATCTCTCTATGATCATTATCTATCTATCTATCGATCTATCTATCTATCACATTCTGTTTATATCTACCTCAATCTGTTCATATCTATCTATCTATCTATCTATCTATCTATCTATCTATCACATTATGTTTATATCTATCTATCTACCTATTTCTGTTAGTAAACATCTATGTCTAATCATTATCTATCGCTCTGTCTATCAATCAGTGTCTATTCATATCTATTTATATATCTTTATTCATATCTATCTATATATCGATTTATCTATGATCATTATCTATCTATCGATCTATCTATCTAATTATCTATCTATCTAACTATCTCTGTAAATATCTATGTCTCTTCATTATCTATCTACCAATCTATCTATCAATGTATCGAAGTCCACGTAGCTATGTGTTATTTATTTATTAGTTATATACATACAGGATGTGTAAGTAATTTGATCACATGTGGTTGTGTGCCTGCAGTTATGTGATAATCAATTAATGTACTTTTATCTTTTCAGAGTATCAATAGTGAACTCACGACTAAAGGAAGAAATGAAACAAAATTCTGCGTTTCTTGCAATACACGCAAATGACAGCGATGCTGAGATTGCACGTTCTTTTGGAAGTTGCTAGATTGTTTGTGCGCAAATTTCAGAAGTATTTGGAAGACACCAGCGATGATATATCGCCTGTAGGGAAATATTCACAGCATTCGGACTGTATCAGGAAACTACACTTCGTAGAGCTGGTGCCGGACAATACGAATCCTGGAACATCCATGAGAGCCATTGCCAGATATCTCTCGATGTCCGAAGGCACAATCAAGAATTTAGTGCTTGACGACATTAGCTTGTTGTTTAGTCGTATATAGGGTGCGATGAATATATATATATATATATATATATATATATATATATATATATGTGTGTGTGTGTGTGTGTGTGTGTGTGTATATATTTGGTTGGATAGATGTGAGTTTATGACCATTGGTTTAACGCTTTTAGCGATCGTCAGACAAACTCTGACAAACTTTGTCTGACGATCGCAAAAGCGTGAAACCCAGGGTCACAAACTCACATCAATCCAACCAAATATGTTAGCTCTATCTCTGATATTGAGCGCATTCTAATAAGTACCGCGTATATAATATATAAATAATTATACATACTTATATTTATTTATATTTATATACACTTTTCACACACACACACACACACACACACACACACATATATATATATATATTTATATATATATATATATGTGTGTGTGTGTGTGTGTGTGTGTGTGTGTGAAGAAATATACTCTTAAGGTGTACTATATTTATGGGATAAAGTGTTGAATATCAAAGATAGACCGACTGTAAATATAAAATTGAACATTGAAGTCAACAGGCTGTTTCATGCTAGGCGCAATCGTCAGGCCACGATAGATAAATTGTCGCCATTTTATATTTCGGCCTGACGATTGCGTCTAGCACGAAACATCCTGTTGACTTCAATGTTCAATATATATAAGGTGTTACAATAAGTTGGACCAATTTTAAATGTGAATTAAGTTTAAGCGTCTAATGACTTTTTTCTTTTTTCCTTTCAGATGCCAAAGAAGGTGAGATGCAAAAATAACCAAGCTGTAAATTTTCTATGAATGACGGACACACACATATACACACACACTACACACACACACCCTCATATATATATATATATATATATATATATATATATGTATATAGTGTTTAGAAAAATATAATAAACTGGAAAATTTCACTTTTTGCGTATTAATTCACCGGATACACATACAAACACACACACTATATATATATATATATATATATATATACATATGTGTGTGTGTGTGTGTGAATATGCACATAATATATATATATACACACACACACACACACACACACACATATATATATATATATATATATATATATATATATATATATATATATATAAAAACGTGGCACCCTGCATTATTAGAAAAAAAACTAAAGAAAAGAAATATTCATAGAAATATGATTTAATTTTTTTTATTCGGTTTATTAACCAGTTGTTAATTTTTTAGACGAAGAATAATTGAGTTTCGAGAATAATTCTCTAATTGTACTTAGGCGATCCTAAGGGAAGAAAAAAAAAGAAGGAAAAAAGAAAAAGAAAATGAGTAATGCAAAAGGCCGGTCATTAGCGAAAACAGGTGTCAAGAGGCCAACGCGCCCGACCGAATTTCAAGTGACAATGGAGATTGTTATTTGGGAGAATAGAATTAAAGGTAATTAAAAGAAAGAAAGAAAACAGGCTTGGTAAAAGTGTATGAACATATGTACGATTGATAAAAAAAATATCGGTCAAAGCATCTGGCCTACTTTTGTGTAGAAGACTCATTATCAATTTGAGAAATGGGATTTTTTTTTAGAACAATGGAAAACGAAATATTAATCGGAGAAAGGTGTCTTTTGGGATGAGAAGGTGACCGCTGGAATTGTATACAGATTCTGACCTGTTAAAATTGGAACCCCACGATGATTAAGGAAGACATTTTCAATTCAGATAATTAAGATTTTTGACTATCAGGTCTGAGCAAAAAACAAAGAGGTGAAAAACGATTGTTCTTGGCTCACAGAGAGCGCCAGTAAGACGGAGAAAATTCTTCCTGAAGTCACATCTAATTAGCGGCGGGCTGTTTTGACAGAGACCAGGAAGGTGAGAAACCGAGATTGTCATTTTTCGTACGTGCGAAAAAAGGCCAAATTAGATTTTGTTTTTTAGCAAGGTGTTCTTTCCCAGGACAACGACGGGATAAGCCACGCCCGATTGGAGACGTCACGAAGTACGGGAGACGCCCAACCAGAATCTCATTGGCCGAAAGCGGTCACGTGATATGCGAGAAAGAGGAGAAAGGACGCTCGATCAAGATCCATTGGTCGAAAACGGTCACCTGACATACGAGGGATCGGGAGAGATGGGTATGCGCCTCCCCACCAGAGGCACTGTGAGGAAGTAGGGGTGAAAATAATAGCGATAATGGGAAATCAGAAATAATGCGACTTTTTGAATTATCGAGAAAACCCTGACGCCGACAGACCCACCCCAGTTTGTTGCGGCGTCAATAAAAGCAGGACCCCAGTCGACAGAAATCAGTTGCAGCTGGACCGCGGGCAGCGAGGGAGCTTGAACGCGGGCATCGGGCCCGGTTATTCGCCCCTTTGTGGGCAAGAGAATCCTAAAACAAGAAATCCTTCCAGCCCAAGTCGAAGAAGAAGAAGATTGCCGGAAAGCCGCAGAGAAGTTGCAGCCAAGTCGAAGATAAGAAGAAGAGCTGCAGGCCAGACAGGCCGAAGAATTGCAGGCCAGACAAGAGAAGAGTTGCAGGCCAGACAGGCAGTAAAGTTGCAGGCCAAACAAGCAGATCAGTTCAGCCCCGGACGGCAGCGAGAAGGGTCCACCTCAGACGGCAGAGAGAAGAGTTGCAGGCCAGACAGGCAGTAAAGTTGCAGGCCAAAACAGAGAGCTCCAGTTCAGCCCCGGACGGCAGCGAGAAGGGTCCACCCCAGACGGCAGAGAGTGCCGTTGCAGGGCCAAACAGAGAGCTCCAGTTCTCAGCCCCGGACGACAGAGAGCTCAGATCACCCCAGACGGCAGAGAGAAGAGTTGCAGGACGGAAGAAGAAGAAGTTACTTGCAGTTATGCATAGAAGAAGTTGAAAATCAAACCAAGCCTCAAGAACAGAACTTCGTCTCAAACCAAATCGAAGTGAAGAAATACGTCCAACTCAAGCCGAAGAGAAGAATCAGCCGAACGACTGGTAGAGATTGGCGCCCAGTGTCAAAACTAAACCACACCGACATACAAAATTCTAGAGAGTAGGCAACTCGAAGTCTTTAAGTTGTATGATAGAAGCTTGGTGCCACAGTCCACAAAGGGGTCGGGAAGTAAGAATAATTTTTATGTAACGAACATTAGATATAAAAGGTTGTTACGCTTTTTTTATCATCAGTAATTTTTGGTCTCGTGAGTTTTTTCTTTTACTTGTGTTTTGCCACCCCCGTCGACTCAGCTTGCATACGGCCCCAATCCCTGTTTTATCCCGTCTGTCTAAGATCTAATCACAACGTTCAGTTACCCTAGTAACCAGGTGTTGGAAGCGAGTTGGGAAAGGCGAGGCTGGTAATCATCTAACCAAGGGGTTGGAACGTCACACTTGGAACAGCGAGGAGCGACCAGGAGGAGCGACGTCACAGTTGGCGCCGTGACCAAAGGATTCGACCCTGGACCAAGTGCCGTCACATATATATTATGTGTAGTTGAACTCATACAAGTGCGTTTAAAACATTTAGATTTCGGCATTAAATAATCAATATATATATATATATATATATATATATATATATATATATAAAATTGAAGATTGAAGTCCCCACTCAGAAGCGACAGGCTGTTTCATGCTAGACATCAATGTTCACTTTTTGAATAACGTATTACCAGACTAGGGTTAATACATCTTCCGTTTCAAATTTAGACACCCCCACCTTTCCCTGACTTGACATCTATGAAAGTAACTCTATACTGATACTTATTATTAACACCCAACACACGCCTACCCAATTTAAACAATTCGCCCTAGCTGTTACCATGGAAATTTTGATTTCAATTATTAAAACACGTAAATTTCAGTAATACGTTATTCCAAAAAAAATTTCGCTTGAAGATGGAACAGAGATTACTTTAACTTAATTTAATTCAAATAATTATATTGAAGTTTTCGGCTTTTGTTTTGAAACATGAGACCTCTTATGTCGCGAGTTGGAAACATATTTTTAAATAAATAATTATATATATATATATATATATAGGGTGTGATGAATAAACTGTTGTCTAATTTACGTAAAAAATGAAAATAACGCTGACATCTCATTTTAACGGATATATTGACCAGAATTACACAAATATATCTTAAAATACTAAAGAGAAAACTTATTCAATAAAATCCGCTATGTCTTCAATTATGGCTTCCCGATGTCTTCTGAATCTCCTGTGACTCTTCTAGATGGCCTCCTTGTTTAAGTTGGTCAATGCTTCCATAATCCTTCAGTTTTTCTTTAGTGTTACAAGGAATTTTGTTGGTCTCTCGCTCACCTGTGCCCTACACAATAATCAAGGCTGTTGCAGTCTGGAGAGTTAGATGGACAGATAAAAGGTGTGTTGTTGTCGCTGAAACTAGGTTTCCCTGCTTGTGTGGTATGGTGCAGAATCTTTGGTGCGTCCAAAGAACATGATGTGACGTGTTGTGTCTGAGGGACTCACCAAAACATTCGGGTGTTA